GGGAAATAAGACAGACAATCTGTTTTAGGGACTGTACGATAGTTTACCGGGGGGGGAGGGCCGGTCGTCTGAGGGGGGAGGGCCTAGGAAAAAAATTTTGAGCCGGGGGGAGGGCCTAGGAAAAAATATTTAAATTTGGGGGAGGGCCTAGGTAAAAATTTTTTCCAAGGTCCCTTTAACTCTACAACGTTTTTATACACGTTCAAAACATGATTAAACGTCTGTCCATACATATCGTAGCGATTTGCAGGTCATTAGAATCGGCAAAATTTTACGTCCAATAATATCCATCCCTATTATTATAATGTATTCGCCCAAATCTCCCACAGTCCCCTTCAAAATCTTGCATCTTCGCCAGAATCGGCGAAACTGGACTACACAGCCAAATTACATGGATTAAAATCGCGTAAATCGCGGCAATCGAAACGATACCGATCAAAAATGTAGGGAAGGCTTGTCTGAAGATTTTGAAAATTAATTTTCGCCGTTCAACGCACCCTTCCCAGTGGTGTGCGTGCGTGCGTCGGCAAAGGCCCCGCTGGTCCCGCCTCGCAGCTCGCTCGAACTTCTCGGCGTGGATGTCGGATGTCGACGGATTAATTTGGTATTTTTATTAAACCAAGGACTATTTTAACATTTACATCTATGTCCCTCCAAAGTTAATTGAAAACAACACGTAACTTGGCATTGTTGGCAATATTGTTTCCCTGTTTGTATTAAAATTGACGCGGAAGACGCGGACGAAAGGTAGGCTAGATAGAGGATTATTTCGATTACACTGACTGACCGTAACGTTACTGACTTTAAATTTATAGTTCGACGTACCAGCGAAATTTGTGCTGCCAAATTTGCCCCTCAACATGCAAAACATGGGTTGAATTTCAAAATTTTTCCGGGGGGACATCCCCCGCCCCCCCCCCCAAAAAAAGCCGGGCCTACTCGGGCTCTAGTGGCGCCTGCGGCGCGATAGCTCGCGCCATCGGCGCTTCATGCGGGGGAAATTTTCAATCAAAATCTCGTCATCCCCATACGAAATTTCACTCTCTATGATTCACGCCGGGGGGAGGGCCTAGGAAAAATTTTATGAGCCGGGGGGAGGGCCTAGGAAAAATTTTTTTGACCTGGGGGGAGGGCCTAGGAAAAATTTTTTTACGCTACCCCCGGACGACCGGCCCCCCCTCCCCGGTAAATATCGTACAGTCCCTAACTTCAGCTCTTCCGGCTCATTTCTCCGTCAAACTTCATATTTCTGACTCAGGGCAAGTTTGTGGGGGGTGTTGTTATGATAGGTGATTGCTCTCATGCGAAAGTCAGTCGAGTGTGTCCCTTCATGTCCTAGGCTTTCTAGGATTCGTCTAGATCTGGTCTAGGGACATCAGTCAGTCAGATAAAGCCTTTAAGGCGTAAAAATTTTCCTCCTATTATAACATCTGCTTGGTGTTAGGGTGCGTCAGCTGATATTTTGAAGGGTTGCAAGTTGTTGTTTTTTAAGTGGCGCCGACGCTCAGAAATGTGTATCTTTGAACATTTTTACCGTAAGTTTTCTTCGACGCGTTCACGACAGTTCTGAGCAAAACTGATCGCTAGAGGGCGCTTCAGCACAGCGCCACATACGGTAGAACAGTAAGGAGTTTCCGGTTGGGAGTTGGCGCGGATTTACATGTGAAAGGCAAATGTCTGTACGGGTAATTATCTTGAAAATACAAAAAGCTTCTTCTGTCTCACCGTAAAAAGAAAATTGCGACAAGAAAAAAGAAAATATCGAGTCTGCCAGGATTCGAACCTGGAATCTTCTGATCCGTAGTCAGACGCGTTATCCGTTGCGCCACAGACCCGCATGCCTGGCTGTGTCGGAATTTACGAATAAGTACTATTGTTACATTTCAGGAGTACAAAAGACCCTCAGGTAAAATTTCATGGTTCGCCTTTTCGTGTCAATCATTGTCGAGCTTTCGGCCGGTGAACACGAAGGGCCAAACAAGAATCTGACTGCTGTTATGCCGCCTTGTTTGTGTAAATCTTCACGGCCTCTTGCTGCATATTTGACGCGAACCAGTAAAGTTGCAGGGCGAGGTTCCTGAGGTAACGTTACATATTATGACCGGATTTGGCCAGATTTGACGTCTCTCTAGCCGGCTAATTAAACCCAAATGGAACACGGAATCTTCCTGCAGTTTCGAAAATTGTTAACCTTTGAAATCTGGCATCATGCATGCGGCAGATATGTGGTGGACAGCAAGAACGGTCGTTAGTACAACGCACCAGATTCGACTACTAAGTATACTGCTATCCTTTGTAGACGGTCTCACAGCGACACCTAGCACTCAAAATAGTACTGCAGTATAGAGGGCTCACACTCTTCTGCAGTACTGATTACAGCAACAGTCGTCGCTGTGAGACCGTCTGCATGAATACTCCCAAAATCTTTGAAAGTAACAGCCAATGAGGATTTACACCATCCCTCACTTTTGACTATCACCATTCTTCGCGATGATAAATTATGTTGATGAATTAGAATAGAGACTTACGTCCTAGGATATGTGATGGTTATCTTATTAATTATTTTTGGACATATGAAAATGGACAAATATTGCACTTGCTCTAACCCTGTAAGGCGAAACTTGTAAGTTGTTATGATGACTAACCCTCTCCCCACCACCTAACCAATAGCATATATGGTACCAAACAGCTACTTTAGCAGGTTGATGGTTTAACATAACGTTACATGTAACTGTTACCTGAAATCATCGGAATAACCATCCCCCCCAAAGAGAAAAAATAGAAACTTCATCTTTACTAAAAATTCTTCTTTATTATCCAAACAGGAATATCCTGCCTTCTATAAATTTATGTACATAACAGTAACTACATGTACATTCATATTTATCTTCAAGTTTCTTGTTAGAATAAGTCCTACATTCAGTGTAACAATTATGTACAAAATTCCACAGACTATCACTTAGAGACAACTATTACAGCCATGAGGTAATGTTATCGAGTGGCAACTGCAACAGTTAATATGAACAACAACAACAAAAAAACAGATTTGTCATTTTGTAAGAAAGTTACTAAAATCAAACAAAATTCTCTAAGCACTAGCTTGTCTAGTATTTTGGTCTTTTAAGACACCACTAGTTTTGCATAGGAAGTTTTCACTGTCACTACTTGGCCACAACGAAAATAAAACAATGCCTTTGATTTGAAAACATACATCCTTACAAATACAGTAAGGATAAATACAATGGCAAGCAACAATTCTCCTAAAACAAATGTTAAACGGTTAATTGATAGGCACTTCTGTAAACAGAAACTTAACAACTTTGCTGCATTTTTAAAACTGCAACTTAAGAGTCCAGCTCTTCCAGTATATGACCTGCCTCCCCATAGTTTGTGAAGAGCATCCTAGAAACATGTTCTTTACTTGAAAGATAGAATATATAACAACAGTAATTTTACAACAGCTCATACTGTACAACTGGACTACATTCACAACTACCGTAGAATTCCTGGCAAACTGACTTTTGTCTCACTTTTGTACAACTGTGTAAAAATGTTGATATTCTTGTGCCCAATTTTATCTACAAAGCAGATCTCATAGTCATAAAATGGATCCCAGTCATTCTATGGAAAAGGTTAGTAATTTTACTAGTAGATCCACCTGGAAAAACTGCAATTTTCCACAAAGATTATTTTCAGGCTAAAACTATAGAATTTCCATATGATATTGTCCCATGGCCACATGATGATCATGTTGCTACATCTACATAACAACACAAAAGTTACTTACTAATACATGTACATGATCCTTAACATATTCAACTGGAGGCATGTTGATTGACTGGTAAAGGCAATGTAAGGTCCAATGAAGTTCTCATGTCAGCAAAAGTCCAATTCAAGCTTGTAAGGAACGTTTTAGACCAGGGACTTAGCATAGCTTTAAATATAGTAATCTTGTTTTTGTCCCAGCTTGTTTGAATGTTGAGAAGTGTCTAACAGTGGACCTTTACTTTGATGAACAAGTTGTCATCTTTAGTGTAGCTGCGACTCCAGAGCTTTTCCAGCGACACAAACTTGTGGAACCCGCGTCCCTCGCTCATGCTACTGGTCGGTCTCTGGTAGTTGGGCGCGGTGGCGTCGGGAACCAGGGTGTGCGAGATGTGCTCGGCCTTGTTGGAGTCGTCTGATTGGTCCAGCAGCGTGAACGTGATGTTGTGGGGAAACGGCCACTGCAGCACGCTGTCGTAGCGGTGTTTGAGGATGTGGAAGTAGATGGACATGTGCGTGCCCCGTGTCTCGCCGCCGCCATTGGCAAAGATCTGGATACACATCTTGTACCCGAATCTGCTGGTGTAGAACGGCGGGCTGTATATGGACGGAACCTGCTTGTTGGCCGCCTCTTGGTGACGCTGGCTGAAGTTGTTTATTCTCCAGAGTAATGTGCCGTCATAGCTCGTGACTTCCAGTTCCTTTATCTTCTTCATCTGTTCAGCAATGATGGCTTCTTTCCTCAACAGCTCTGTCTGCAGGAGTTCGATCTTTTCGCTCTGGTTGCAAACTTTCACCGTCAGGCTTTCCAGCTTCCCGTTCTGAGACTTCACGCGCTGGTGCTGACTTGTGAGGAGAGCGTTCTGGTTCTGGATTCGCTCGTTCTGCTCTGCGACTTTGGCGGCTTGCGCCCGCATCTGTCCCTCATGTTTGGCGAGCGTCTGGTGGATGTCGTTGATCTTCTGGCATAGGAGTCCGAGGTGGTACTGCGGCAAGACTTTCAGGTGTTTGTTCATCTCTGGGCGTTTGGCCTGAAGACAACAGAAGAACACACTGAGTTCTTGTAATTAACCTAACGATGACTATAAGTATAATAGCCTAAGGTGAAAGACTGATAGAAAAGGCATGTGAATGGATTCAAAAACAAAGCAATTAAATGGATGTAAACAGTCTTTCCATGGACAAATACCACAACAGCAGTGACATTATAATGGTCACATCTGTTGCACCTAACAAATGTGAAACATGTTGTGCACCGTGGCCGATTTTGTGGCCATTTGTAACAGCTGTTATAGACAAAAACACAACATGCCATAATTTCTGATAAAATCATTATTATTTTCTGACTGGTACTGATGTGGTAGGTCACAAAAGTGACAGAAAAAGTTTCAAATACGGGTGTTACAAAGCTTTTCATCTTTTTAATCCTGTAGGTGTAACAGCTAATCAGAACTAGTTTGATTTTTTAGAATGACTTTCGAAAAAAAAATCTAAGATGAATATACCTAAGTATGACCTACAAAATTGATTAAGCTATTTATGAAATATTATTTGAAAATATTATTTCAACGACTTGACGTCTTCTCTCATGACGTCAATAATAGGAGCCAGGCCCCAGCCAATTGGAGTACTAGTATGTCAACACTGAAACAAACAAACAAAACTTCTGCTGCCTTACCTGAAAGGTGCAGCCTGCAGGCTTGAAGGGACAGGGTAGGACGGACTGCGGACAGTTCCCGCGTACAGGATCCAGGTGCTGCGGCAGCTGACTGCGGGGGACGTCCTTCAGTCCACAGCTGTTGGGACAGTTCACCGGCACAGCGAGACAGCTCTCGTGATGAAGCTGTGTCAAACGTTACAATGCAATGAGTCTCCTTGTTGTGCAAATAAATAAACAAACAAATAATCAAACAAATTGAAGTATGCCGAGCAGAGACATGTTGTCCACTGTTAGAGACCAACCAAATTTCTTGTTTTTTGTTCAAAATTACTTGCTGTGGCCTAAGATAGCACTTATATATATATATATCAATGAAAGAATTTTTTTTAAAGGTGAAGAAAACAAAGAAACAAACAAATGTCTACATACCACCATTTCTCTAGATGGAACCTCCTTGGTGCAGTGTTTACATTTCTTGATCTTACTGACTGCCTCCTCCTTCCGTGCTTTCTTCCCTCCTGCCTGACCACAGGCCATGTGTACCATGTCTCTGTACGTACAGGACTCCAGATGCTCCTGGTGTAAAATACAAACAAGTCAATCAGAGATGGCAGACTTCACCCCCTTTTCTGATACTGCCTTGTGACCCTTCCAGTCATAAAGACAAATATACAGTAGCAACACTGTGGCAAGGCTGTTTACTGGATATTGTCATTTGTTGCCATTTCTTAGCATATTTTCAACATTATTTCATACTACATGTAGTGTCATACAATCATACATGTAGAAACACTTGAATTATCTCCCCAAACAAGCAAGACGTCATTTTTTGGTACCACCAATAAAATGCTAGAAGTAGCCTACGATAGCTCGGGAAGCCTTTAAACATCTGGCCAAGTAAAACTTACTCACCTGTAAGTCTCGAAGCTCCCCCTTCCAGTCACAGCCATCACTGCGGAAGTTACACCTGACTGTCAGGGACAACACCTGTCGACTGAAGGCCACATCTGCAAACAACTGTGGGGAGAGAAAAATCTAAAGGTTAACTTTCTAAAATGAGACTTACACTATACATGTACAAACAATAGAAAAATAGCATGATCCCTCATAAAATCATATGATCATTCTCTAAAGACTATTGTGAAAAAAATTACATATTAAAAATTTAAAATTAAATTCTGAAATAATTTAAACCAAGGGCTGCCCCCAAAGGCTGCAGTTTTATATGGAATGTGTCAAAACAATATGATTAAAAAGTCATTAAAAAAATTCAATTCTCTTCCATCTTTGAGGGACAAAGCATGAAACTTATTTGTGAGAAAAAAAATTTTAAAGAAAAAAACAAGAAAACATCCTTTGAGATAGAAAAGAGTGTGATAAATATGAACATAGATGTGGTAAAAAGAGGAAGGAAGTGACCAAAAGTAGGTGAGGTCCCACCGAGATTTGAACTCGGATCGCTGGATTCAAAGTCCAGAGTGCTAACCATTACACCATGGGACCGGTTGAGTTGCTTCCGCCTGAACCTTAGTACTTGAAAGGTAGGCGTGACGTAGGCGGCATTTTCAATAGGATCTGGTTACGCATCGGAAAGATCACCATTTACATGACCATAGACTGTACATATTCAGTCGACACGTACGCCTTTTAATCTTGAATTCTAACCAATATTTACGCTTTAAGGCCATAAATTATATCAAAAATTAAAATACTATATTTTGCTGAGTCAGTATAACGTTTTTGTACACAGAAAACTCAAATAAAGGGTAAATTTTGTCTTAAGCTTTTTCATCTTTCCTCCCGATACACGCCGTTGTCCTTCAAAATGGCGCCGCGGGTCACCACCAGAAGTGTACCGTAGAAGAAAGCTTTTCTGTCCTCTGGGGACTTGCTGATCTCATGAAATTTTCAGGCAAAATCAGGAGAGCCCTTCGTGATCCTCAAATCCCTGTATACAGCTGCAAACGTGGCCTTTTGACCCAAGAGAAACGGGCGTACTTTTACTCGAGCAAAAATGTGCTAAATTCTCACGCGTACCAGACCTATCAACAACACCGCCTACGTTTTTCCCCTGATTTATTTGGTGATCTAAAAATCATTCCGGGAGAGATTGCGTATCTGTCTCGTTAGTTTACCCCTAATGCCCACATTTGGGGAGGCACGAACATCGATTAGGGAGCGCAAAATCGCGCAACGATGCGGAAAGAAACCCAATACGGATTCGCATTTCACGGCACACTGTGCAAATAACTGGTGTCAACATCTAGATTAAATGTGAGTGGGAGTACTAGAAGGGTACAAATTTCTTCTAGATGTAACGTTACAAGTTACCTTATCAGGATGCAGCTCCAATCCGTCTATTGGACATTGTGGGTTCTTCTTCCTAGATGAATGTAGAAAGAAAACGCCATTTAATAATCGTCTGTGTGAGAAACTTATCAGCAGGCTAGACGCATTCAAGTCTACGTTTTTTTACATGAAAGCAAAAAGTTCATACATAAACATTGTGAGTGTTTCAGATACCGCTAGGGAGACTGTTTGAATTTGCATGAGCAAGTAAAAAAAGAGAATATGTTACAAAATTAAAAAAGTGCCTTCTAGTGATTTTACTGTGCTAGTAGACAAAAATTGTCTCATTGGGGAAATGGGATAATTTTTGGTATTTTGTTAAGGTTACATTGATGTCACAAAATGTTGTTATAAAATGTTTTACGCAGCACAGACTACTGAAGGGTGGCAAATTGTTCCACATTCTTTACTACACATTCTTCAGTTTACATTGTAGCAACAAGCCTATATCCAAACAAGGCACTGGGTCTAGGGGCCTAAGACAACAGTACAGATCTCGAGAATAAATATTGTCCAGCGTCCCGACTAAAAGGAATCAAAAGAGGGCCCGGCGGACGCATACAAGGTAGATTGAAGCTGAAAGTAGATCATAAAAACGCAAATTACTTCCCTTAAGTAAATCCTTCCACGGAAAATTAGCAGTAAATGAATTACTCGAGGGAAATAGGCCTTCCTGTGATTTAAATAATGCGCTGATTTGATCACGATTGAAAGCAATGCATTTTACGTTCTGCAAAAACTAGGCTAACCCCACATCCCAGACCGAAAAAATAATATTTTGACTTAAAACACGCAAAGTGCCCATCATTTTACACGACGACTGACAAGCTACTGTAATAATGCATGAATGACCCTTTGTGACATGTTAATAATAAATGTCAAGAAGAATTTACACGCAATCCTAATGTCATGAATGTCGAGACGTGCGCCAAAAGGTTCTTATGTCATACACGTAAATCCGAGCACGCTACCAAAACGCACGCCACTGTTATGCGACATATGAAATCGTTTCTGCGTAACGTTATTTTGTAATTTCATCCTTGTCTCGTTCGCTACGTGCTCGCTATAGTATTGACCTTGCACCCCAATACAACCCAATATCCGCCCACAATAAAATGGCCAATAAAGAAGACAAACGCACGCGTTACCTTGGAGGGAAGGACGCAAATTTAAACGACTCCGGCTGATATTACACTGTTTAAAAGTCGTGTTTTCGCTGTAAACAATGCCGAGGGCAAGAGCGTTTTATCCCTTGTGTATTTTTGTTCTCATATTACAATTTAGCAACCTATAGCGTCTTCTTTTCCATTTCTTACAGCGAGATACCAATACTTTTCTTATTCTGTGAATGACTGAACTGGAAAAAATATTATAGACGTGCTAAAATCTGTCTACGTTACCTCATGCACGGTCCAAGGCAGTCAGCACAGAAGCGGTGTCCACACGCAGTTTGTACGGGGTCTCTGAAGGCCAGCATGCAGATGGGACATTCGTACACCTTGGACAGGGGTTGCACGAAGTCTGCCTCTGGTAGCACAACCGCCATCGTCTCTTCTGAGCCCAGTTCTTGTTTATCCCTCCGTCGATCTATCTTGAAAGGTAAATGTCTTGTTGAAAGGTGTTACCAAGGGGAGTGTAGACCTCTCACTCAAGCGGGGTGCCCTCCCCAGTTTCGAGCTTTGCTCGGGTCGAATGTCTCTCTCTCTGCCGTCCAAAAGAATTTCAGCTCACCGACACAAGCACAGAAAGAACCTTATGCTTATACACATCAAATGACACAGCTGTATAAGCTGCTTTCACCAAGGTAGTCCAAACAACGGGTCTCGGGCGGCTGTGGTCGGTGCTCCTACCAGTACGGCCCGACCCAGAACACTTGGCTCGCCACGGTACCCGCTACGCTCCACCGAAGCACGGTCCGCGATTTTTTTTCGACGAGTAAAGTTGTTTGTACGGTCTCTGAACAGCTTTACCCGTGATACGACGTCCTAGAGAGGTGTCCTGAGCGGAACAACGTGCCCCGTGTGTCTGTCACATGTAGGTTTGGACACGAACTGGACACTAGAGTTCACGATAGCCACAGCTCCGTCCTGTAATCCAGCCAATCTACCCACGGGTCAAATAGTTGGCGTTGGGTCGTCGCTCTGAAACGGTCATCAACATGGGTCAAACCACTATTTAAAGGGGTGAGCGCGATTGCTCTATCTTTACGTAACAAATACAAACCAATGAAATCAATCAAGCATTAATTGATTCAATACATCATCATCTAAGAGGCATGTTTATATAGTTAATTCATAATGTAAACGGGAGGATACATGTATATTTTAAATGTTGTTGTTTTTAAAATGGTACAGTCTGAAGGCATTGTGTCTTTGATGTGTTGATTTTATTCAGCCTATTCAGTTCTATTGTTTACTCCCTATTCAACCACTAGACGAATCATCTCATGTTACATCGGGGAGAAGAAATATCAAAAAGCATCGGAAGTATCAACGAATGCGGTACTTTCTCTGTAATCACATTAATTATCACAAACTCATTTTGTTGCGTTTGCCACCTATGCAACATGAAACAGATTTCTTATAATGTCAGTCACAAATTGATTACAGAACAATCTGTTGCAATGAGAGATCGATAAAGTGATTTTGTAACAGACATGTGTTGTATCAGGAAGTCTAGAAATGGATAAGAACAATTACTGTGACAAACGATCAGAGAATATCAACATAGTACAATTATCTTTCTATCGATAAACTGCCTATTCGAATCATATGTAACGGAACCACAATATATTTTGTTTAGTTAGCTTGTGCAGCTTGTGACGACAAGAGCGCATTCTAGAGCGCAGCTGGATGCTACTTTATACCGTTCAAGTGGCTGAAACTGCCCCTGCCGTTTTGTTTACAAATAGAACCACTCCAAAAGCCCTCTGTGCAATGTACCGAGACATTGGAAGTAGGTGAAAATTACGCATTGTTATGGTAAGAATGTTAACAGACATTGTCATGGGAAAGGGAATGATCTGTGCTGTCACACAGTTCTTAGAAAGAAAAATGTTAACGCTAATACAGGATACATGGATGACTTCATTCTCATGTTTTCTCACCTAGACATATCCAGTAAACACACAAATAAACACAGCCGCAACTAAACTGTATTAAATTTCCCTTCAGAGTAATCGACAAATTTAAGCTCCTTGATTGAAACATACCTTTTGTAGATTATATACAAAACTGTTGTCAGTTTACGTTGGTTGGGTTGATTATTTGTTAAAAACAGATACTAACCAACATAACCAAATCTGACCATTTGCTAACTATTGTTGCACACAAAAGCTACATACAGTTTGCTCTGCCGACAGTAGCCCTTTGTAGACCGTCTACGATACCAGCCTTGAAAAGACAAGAATGCCATCAGGGTATACGTCAATGTACCCCTTCCACAACCTCGGCCAATCGCAGCTCTTCTTTATTCCGAACTCGTTCGAGACGTGTTCAAAGTTTGTTCTGATGCCTTTGTTTGGTGGGATGAAATTTACGTGACCGTATCGCACGGGTCAATGTATTTACCGATGACGAATGTCGGGCTACTTTCAGCGACTGCCAAACGGCCCCCGTGAGGAATGGACGTCTAGTTCATCTGCCAAGTTTGTGGGGAAAATTTATGGACTATCGCAAATCGAAGACCATGAATCTTAATATAAGTCTATACATAGATCGACTTGTAGTATCTTGCACCAAGGACATTATCTTTCCAAGGACATTCTGATCTTTCACAGATATTTGTATCATATGATGATCAAACTACTAGTATATAGTATATCCACTGTCTCCGAATTAGCAATAAATTGTCTATATACCGAGATACCTATACCATAACCGAAAATAATCATGAACTCAATAAGGATACGTAAAATCATATGTATATAATATATATACGTGTATAATAAAAAAACATTATTTGGTCACAGGTGTATACTAGTATTTACTGTACTGTCCACGACTTTATTTAAGAGCAATATACAGTCTATAGTTTGTGTATTTCAATTCTAGATCTTCGTAGCCAATAGTAAATTTGGAACTCACTAAGGACTCCTAAAATCTTATGTCTAGAATTAAAATCCAAAAGTTGACCATAGAGGTATACCTACAGCCGCCTGTATGTCTATATTTTGAGTATTTCAATTCTTCGTAGCCAAGAATAAATCATGGACTCAATAAGGATACATAAAATCATATGGGCCACCTTTGAACTGAAGAACGTTGGTACCGCTTTTATTACATATCTACGTGCGACGTGATAGTATTGAAGTTACTTCTCAATAAAATCGTTCCATGAATGAGACGTTTTTCATTTGTTATTTGACACCATATGGCGAACCCACGGGTCATTTACCAACAGAAATGTCAATTTGCCAAACACGAATGCAGATAATGTGAAGCAAATCGCATCTTCGGGAAAGATATTTCTCTCACATATTTCATTTCAAACGGTTTTAGATATAGTCAATACAGTTTCAGGCAATGGCGACGTTTCGGTATCCATTGTTTTATACCACTGATGTTTTTTATATGGGGCCAATGAATTTGTATGCCGCCAGGCAAAAAAAAATAGTTTCTTGCCGACGTACTATTGAGTCACCATTGAGCTCAGTATGATTTAGCAGAGTGAATACATTCCTCAAGCTAGCCGACATCTACTCGTACGTAGCACATCTCCCTCGGTGAAATCTGGAGCATCATAGTTTCTGTCCATAAGTTAAATTCAGCCTGGTAAAAATTGTAGCCAGACAAATATCAGGCTCTTACAGATCGACGGTCTTAAACAGTACCATTGAGTTCAGACAGGGTTATATTCATGCAAATTGTTCAGCCAAACCAAAACGACCCCTAGAGAGAAAATCACGGTCTAGTGATGTCTTTCACAACTCGCGTTTCCAACCTAATGCCAGGTTACCTGCCGGGAGAAATAGACAGGTCTGTTTTGAAAGGAGTCGTGGGGTCGAACCAGTCCTGGTAAATAATGGAGCCTTCTGCAAATAGACGCCCTAAGAACTCCTGTTGAGAAAATCATCGGGTTGAAATGCTCGCAGGGCCGCTGTCTCCTAGGAATTTTACCGGCGGCCTTACCAATTCGCCGCAGGCCGGCAATTTGTGAGCGTAAAATACTGGCTCGATGTGCAAACAATGTTTAGAAGGGCTATATTCAGCGGTGGTGTCTAGCCCAGGAAAGAATGGCGAAGTTTGTTCAAGTGGTCAGGACAAAGAAAGAGAAATATACATTTAGTTGAACAATAGACAATAGTTAAGTTTAATCTAGTGTGGTGTACTGTAATGTAGTGTAGTGTAGTGTAGTAGTGTAGTGTAATGTAGTGTAGTATAGTGTAGTAGTGTAGTGTAGTGTAGTGTAGTGTAGTATAGTGTAGTGTAGGGGTAGGGTAGAGTAGTGTAGTGTAGTGTAGTATAGAGTAGTGTAGTGTAGTGTAGTTCAGTGTAGTTAACGTTTGTCTTGTTTTGTTTAAGCTTTAAGTTTACCTTAGAATAGTTTAGTTCTGTCAAGGACATTATACATATTATTATTCTGTATAATGTCCTAGCCTGGAAGGCTAATAATGGTTAATTTGGTTTTACAGAGTTTTGTAGTGTAGTTAAGTTTTACGGTTCTTCTCATTTTCAGACGTCCTTCGTTAGTTCTTAATCTAATCTTGGTTAGAATTTAGTATAGTTTGAGTTCAGCTGAGTTATAGTAAGATTTTATTTTTATTGCGTTAATTTTGGATTTTTGGATCTATTATGATTCTTAACCCGTGTGTGTGCTGAACCCGAACAGACAGGTCACCACAGGGTCATATCTCTTGTCCGAAGTTCGCCGTTCTAATGACACGTCAGGACGTGGGGCTGAATTTTTCATCTCGATCCCAGGCTCGGACAGCCGTTAAAAAGGTCGTTCCCAAGGTCAACAGATCACGTATTCCGGTGCTGGGCCCGGTAATGTCCGTCTGGGTAATAAACCCGCCGTAGGCCCGGCACGGCCCGGGAAGGATGGGACAATCTCCCGTAATCCCCAGGGTTAGAACTAGGTGATTCTGCCTTAGTAGAATGAAGGAGGTTGAAGGTAGCTGTGCACCTCATTGATTACCGTGGCTCTTGTCGGCCCTGCCCTGTAGCTATCATATCGACGTTAGTATTATTACCTTCGTCAAGAAGGTTATGTTTTCAGTAGCGTTTGTCCGTCTGTCTGTTTGTCTGTGAACAGCATAACTCAAGAAGCTTAATATGCATTGTCATGAAACTTGGTAGGGGGGCAGGTCTTAATGAGAGCTAGAATTTCGTAGAAATGATTAGATTTTTGGTCCCCTGGCGGCTTTCCTAGGTACTGCAGCAGAACTTACGGTTTTGATATCTCGTGATCTGGACATGCTATTTTGGATGGTAGCTAGCCCTTTGGCTATGGAAGAATCATTTTCTGTTGGTTACTCATAACTTACTATACCATATACTAGTAGCGCGCTACAATTCTGAGATATACCTGATATACGAGTACGTATCTGTCTGCTATCGTGAGGATATATGTACGTACCGTTATTCAGCTACCGGTATATCATATCGCATTGTACATCATTATCTTATTCGCAATTCACAGGTTACATAGGACATCATCTACCCTCTTCAAGGATGATATATTGAACGTACAATTGTACATACATTTGTATAACCAAGGAGTTTAAAATCACAAATGCCCCCTACAAGCAGTCAATACTTTGGCCTTGAATTCTGATGCGATTTTATGGTGGCATTTTTTTATTTTTGCATCCTCTCCATCTCACATCATAATACATACGGACACAATACGGTATATGAGTGTGCAGATCTCCGAAACGATTGTCAAAAACAGCTCGAAAGTAATTGAACATGAATGACACGACAATACATCCTCATACATGTGTAATTCCCTAGATAACAGTGATGGGTTGTTATGTGTATCAAGATCCCACGGGATTATCTCAATTATCTCTCATTAAGAGATCTATTACAAGTCCATCCTTTGTCTTCCACATTCCTGTATGTATTCAGCTCCCTTGGAAACAAAAATTTGAAATTTTCTCACAGAGCGGTAT